GGAGAGCCAGGGCCCTGTGCACTGCAGCTTGCCCTTGCCCTGGGCTGCTTCAGGGGACCCTCTCTGTGTCCAGCGGTGCTGGAAGCTGAACAAGCAGCTGGGGACTCAGAGGACGGTGTAAGGATAACGCCAGACTCCGAACAGACTAATCACCGCTTTGCAAAGGACACAGGTGACAAAGCGATGTCACCTACACACCGGTTAGGTTAGATCACAGCACAGAAAATAAACATGGTTACAGCCAAAACACCTCCTCTGGTTAATCAAGGAAAAGGATCACTGGGAAAAGGATGTTGGCAGAGTTCTGTGCGTACCATGCTGCCTTCCTTGGGGGTTCCACCACTTTCAGCATAGCCTTGCAGCTGTTGCCATCTACATCCTGCCTAATGACCCACCTCTCTCCACTTTGCCCTTCTCTGGTGGTTCAGAACAAAAATAGTTTAGCTTGGAACAAGCTGAAAAATAACTTCTTAATGGCTGTGGAATAGATTCCCAAGAGAGGGGGTGAAAACTCCTTAGGATAGGTGAAAGCATACGGCTTAGACTGTAGGGAACAATTCTGCAGAAGCCCCTGAGAGTGAATTTAAAAAAAAAAAATCTAATAGAGTTCGAATTAAGCGCCCGCTAGTTCGAATTAAGTTCAAACTAGTGGTTTGTATGTGTAGCTCCTATTGAAGTTAATTCAAACTAACGTCTGTTAGATCAAATTAACTTTATAGTGTAGACATACCCTTTGGCTACGTGTACACTGGCATGAATTTCCGGAAATGCTTAAAACGGAACAGTTTTCCGTTATAAGTATTTCTGGAAAAAGAGTGTCTACACTGGCAGGCTGCTTTTCTGGAAAAGCCCTTTTTCCGGAAAAGCGTCCATGGCCAATGTAGACGCGCTTTTTCCGGAAAATCGTCATTTCCGCAATCGGGGCTTTTTTCCGGAAAAGACTACTGGGCCGTCTACACTGGCCCTTTTCCGGAACAGTGTTCCGGAATAAGGACTTATGCCCGAGCAGGAGCAGAATAGTTTTTCCGGAATAGCGGCTGATTTTGTACAGTTCAATGTCGTTGCTTTTCCGGAAATTCAAGGGCCAGTGTAGACAGCTCGCAGCTTATTCCGGAAAAGCAGCTGATTTTCCGGAATAAGTGGCCCAGTGTAGACACAGCCATGCTGTTTTCTAACAGGTGTAAGCTTGTGCAAGAGGCCACTGTGGACGCATGGCAGGGGTTTCTTGCGCAAGAAAGCCCTATGGATAAAATGGTCATAAGAGCTTTCTTGTGCAAGAGAGCATCCACACTCCCATGGACGCTCTTGCACAAAAGCACATCTCGCACATGGCAGTGTTGACGTGTTCTTGTGAAAGAGTTCTTGCACAAGTGTAGACATTGGCGGCAAGAACTCTTGCTGCCAGTGTAGACATAGCCTTTGTGACACATAAATATTATTTGACCACATTATGCAAGTACCGGAAGGGGGGCTATGAGGGGTCTGGCGTGGGGGTTGGCAGGGAATGCTGCTGAAACTGATCAGCGGCGGACTTGGGGAAGCCAGGGGCAGAGCAGCTCCAATTGTCTGGCTGGCCGGAGCACTTCTGGGTTCCAGTTGGTGCCGGACTATCAGGAGTGCCGGATCATTGGATGCCGGACAATTGGAGTTTTACTGTACACTAGTGCGGCATTTCTCCTAAATGATTAGCAGTGAGCTAGTTAACATACTAGGCTGAAATATAACAAGCCATAAACATCAATAAAGAAATCTCCAGCTTTCCTAAGGTAGAACTGGTTACACAGGTTTTGCTAGAGGGTCCTACAGTGCAAAAAAACAGTAATAATCCAGATACAGACTAGAATACATAGTGGCAAGAACCAAATAGCGTTAGCTGCTACCTAGTTTTAGCTACATTGTGTTGAAGACATAAACCATGTGTAAGCCAAACAGTTATTAAACTGGTTAGAAGCTCAAAAACTAATATGCATAGAGCCTTAGGCAGCCTAAGCTAATAGCTCTGACAACATATTTAGGAATAACTACAACACAGCAATAAGTCACATTGGGAAGCTTTTTGTAACAAAAAGCTCAGATTCTGAAGAAAATGATGGGTTCAACATCACCACAGCAATGTCAAAATGGCTTTATGGCCTGATACAGCTCACTTTACAGT